TGTGCTAGTGAATTTTGACATTTACCATAAATGACATTGTTATTGTATACTAGCATGCATCTGGCAATGGGGCAAATGCCAGTGAACGTTGATATCTACAAAATCTATCTGGGATTTATTTATGTATTGCATTTTTGTCTTTTTTTTCTCCAAGGAGCTGAAATCGTTGTATCTATTTCTTATCTCACCTTCTACTCTTTTGTCCTCACTATACTCCTGTGAGATGAAGTAGACACAAAGACCTATTTATGCTTGGGGGCTAAATACTATGTTAGTACTAATTGGTAGTGCATGCACTGGTAACCTCAAGGTTGGATTTCTGTAATGCACTATACATTGATTGGGTTACCTCTGTACCAAGTTCGGAAACTCCACAATTAGTTCAAAACATGGCAGCCAGACTAGTTAAAGAAACATATAGGAGTGAGTATATTACACCCAAATTGAAGTACTCCACTGGTTGCCAATAATTTCTGGGCAAAGTACAAAGTGTTGCTTTCGATCTTTGAAGCCCTACATAGTTTAGGTCCAGATTGCCTACAGGATCGTCTTCTCCTGCACAATTGACCCTTTTGGACACTTAGGATCTCTGGCAGACGCTTCCTCCAACCAACCAGAACCTGATTGGTAACTGTCACCCAGAGTACCTTTTCATCAGCCACCCCATGAATGGTCAGTGATCCACTCAAAGAGATCCAACAGCTAAACAAGCTGACGGAACGTAAAATGCAATCAAATACCCATGACCTCTAGCAGGCCAACTTGGTCAACTTTCAAACATGAGCTCTGGTTTATATTCTGCTACTACTGTATGTCAATTCTGTATCTGTGTTTGGTACAGGTTTTTATATTGCTGTGTTTTTATCTGTGTAATTTATTGTATGTTGTATATATATTTTTGTTGATACGTTTTCTTTACCCTGCCTTGAGCCATCAGGAGAGGCAGGTAATAATAATAATAATAATAATAATAATAATAATAATAATAATAATATGTCACCATATTGAGTGACAGTCGCATTGAGGAAAAACAACAGGAAAAACTCAGCCGCTATCAAGACCTCAAAATTGAACTGCAAAGGCTCTGGCATAAACCAGTACAGGTGATCCCAGTGGTCATTGGCACACTGGGTGCTATGCCAAAAGATCTCAGCTGGCATTTGGAAACAATAAACATCAGCAAAATCACAGTTTGTCAACTGCAAAAGGCCACCTTACTTGGATCTGGATGCATCATTTGAAAATACATCACACAGTCCTAGATGCTTGGGAAGTGTTCGACTTGTGATTTTGTGATACGAAATCCAGCATATAGATCTCGTTTGCTGTGACATACTGTGCTTTTGTGTCAATAATAACTATTATTATTATTATTATTATTATTATTATTATTTAGAGTAGGATCTTTGAAATCAGTGAGACCTAATGTTTTGTACGATAAGCCCATCCATTTCAACATGCCTTGTTGGAGCTAATGTAGAATTTAGCCCCGTTGACTAAGCAGGGTTTAGACATTTTACAGCCCCATATGTTTCTGATTTTTTTGTGTGCATTTGAGTAATTTGGATATAAAAAGCAAAATGGATGCATTGCCATGTTGCTTCTCCTCTTCTAGTATGCAAAGTATGGTACATCTGAATTGCAAATGTTTTGTTTATGTTAATACAAATTTATATTTAAATCCTGGATGAAGGTAGATTTCCACCTCATTATACACCCGAGTCTTATTAGCATTAATGGAAATTATGCAAACTTGCTGAGCTTGACAAGGCAGCTGCCGGAGGTGAACAAGGAGTTCCATCTCTCTTGCTGTTCCATTTATGTTGGGCTCCTGTGACAAGACAAATCAATGATGATTTCACACATTGAGTGGCTATACGCCAGCTCATTAGTATGTTAATAATCACTCCTGTATTTTCCATGCTGTATTTTCCAGATTAACTTGTGTCACTTTTGTTTACACCTTTCCACAAATAAGAGGCTGCCGAGCTTGTCTTACCACAGTGTTCTGGAAACTCTGCTGGCTCCTTCAAATTTCCTGTGTGGATGTACATTGGAAAAGTTAGTCTTTGTTTGTGAAACGTTGTTAATCTTAGACCCATCATACAGTAGTCCAAAGTGCCTTATGACTAGAGATAGTGACCATATCAGGCCATGCTAAATTGTTGAGCAAAGTGGCTGAGATGTGATCCAAAAAGTTCCCTCTTTCAAACTGTGAGTTAACTGGACTAATTCACTGAATGGAACTTCAAAATGGATTTCGATGGCATCTTCATACAGTGTCAATGTTGAAGGTATTTTACATGATTGGAATCCAACCTGGTTTCCAGTATTAAAACATGGTGATAACCATAATTATCTTCCACTGTGAGGTGACTCTTTTTTTTATAGGGTGGCTCTGAAAGGTGTAAAAACACCCCTAGAATGTGCAACCTGAACATTTTGCAGCTACGAGGTTTGGGTTGATTTGATTCCCCAAGCCACCTCCTACTGAAGACAGTTTTTTTGTGCATTACTGTGTGATTACACTGACAAGAGTGGATACGTACACAGAAATATAACTATTCAGTTGAAACTGGGACTTGTTTTGTGTACAATAAGATGCAGCACAATATCCTTTGGGTCCAGACTATCTGAAAGATAATATCTTCTACTGTGAACTATTCTGACTTTTTGAGATCTTCAGGGGAGAACTTTCTCTTGACCCATCTTAACAGACACATTTAGTTGGATTTCGCGAGGAAGGACTTCCTTGGTGGCTGTTCACAACCTGTGGAACTGCTTCCCTTTATGAGCCCCTTCCATTGGCCATGTATTGATTGCTACTGTAAGACATTTTAATGGGTGGGGCGTATCAGCAAGAGTTGGGCTTTTTCATATTTTGTTATTTTTTAAAACTCTGTTATACAGTTTTAACTTAGTGATTTTTTAAATAAAACAAACAGCATAATAGTATTGTGATAGTAAATATTGATAAATGGGAAAAGGATGTTGTAATTTGCTTTGGACATGTGGTTTGTGGCCAGTTTCTGGTCACATAACGTATGCTGTTGCATATATCTGAATATTGTTTGTTTGCAAAATAAAATGCATTATAAAAAAAGAATACTAATTTTTTTTTTACAATGAGTCATCATGGGCAGAAAAAAATGAGTAAAGAATCATTAGAAATACACTCTCTTGCTGTGGACATTCATAAGAATCCAATAAGTTCTTCTTGAATTAGACCTGTTCTCCAGCAGTGGTTGGTGATGTCATACATTGGGGAAGCCTTCAACCTGGTTGTGATGGAGGTTGCTTTCATTTTTTCTGTTGCCTTCTAAATCTTGTTGAAAAACAGTGTTGCTGAGATGTTCTTCTTACGGCTAATCACCATTCATAGATTTCCCCCCTGTTCTTACATTTCTGGAGAAGTTACTTTTTTGGACCAGAAATTCACATGAGCCAGAGTGTGGACATCTTTCCAGAATGCTATAAAACAAGTTGCTTCTATAGCTTTTTTTCTTGTGTGCTTTCAAGTTGCTTGCAATTTATGTTGACTCTAGCAAGAGTTTTCCTGGCAAGATTTGTTCGGAGGGGCTTTCCTTTTGCCTTCAATAGTGTGACTTGCCCAAAATTATCCTGTGGATCTCCAGGACCGAGCAGGGATTTAGACCCTGCTCCCTAGGGCCATAGCCCAAAGCTCAATCCACCATAACACTCAACACTCATTCTTTTTTAGAGGATTAATTCCTTCCTATTAGAAGTGAGCAAACGAGGGACTCTCTCTCTACTATAACTGCTAGTATAGGTCAGGTTTACATTTTATATATTTTTGGACATTATTATGACATTTTGATGGCTGGCAATATAACAAATATAAAGTTTGACCATAAATATGCACATTATGTACTCCTCATTCCTTACTGCTTAAGTATAATTTTAGCATTTTTTAAAATAATTGTGGCAGAACGTCTTTGTTGCAATAGTAATCTGCAAGTAGCTGGAAGTACTTTTGGACTGTTTGTCCCAGTGTTTCCTTACTCACACCCTATTAGCCTGCCATCAATGTTCTACTTTTCTTTGGCAGGCTGTCCAGAACACCATTTCCTCCTTTTCAAGCTGGTGAAGTCCAATTGTTCTTTGCTTGCTTTGCATCAGCCTTTCCCAGAATTTTGCCTGGAGCTTGAATCCACAAGGGAATCCCCGGTGTGTTTAGATTATAAAACTGCTTCCTGAAATGATCTTGTTTGGTTGAGGCTCTTTGATAACGCTGTCAAACTGGATGTTCTGTTTTTCTCTTCTCCATCCAAGCAACCCCCTGTTCTCCCTTACACTGTTGGTAAACAGAAATTGGTGCATATGTAATTTCTCCCTGCCACCCATGCTTGTAATTTGATGATGAGTGTCTGATTCTTGGAAATAAATTTATATGTATAACCCTGCCTGCCTTTACACTGTAGAATAAAACACAAGGTCTTCATATCTCATAAGAGAGAGAGAATCTGAGACCAAAGATGAGAAGGATAGGTTTGGCCAAGGCATCTGAAACACAGCCAAAGGCACAGTTGACTACTTAATGGATGTACAAAAGGTTACTTGCATTTAAATGGCAAGTAACATTAAATGCCAACAATCCTCTGTGGACTCTTTGTGTTTCAATTCTCGGGGTTTTTTCTGAGATACCTACACATAGTTCCACCTTACCTTTCATGTTTAATGCTTTTAAGGGTGTTGTTGGTACCATGCATTTTGCTTTTTTGCAAAATTAAAACAACAATAATGTATGAATCCATTCTTACTGAATAAGTGGCAGAGCTGAAATTTGAACCCATGTCTAATACCCTTTTGATCTGACTGTCAGGCACATGCAGCTTTTCTTTCCAGCCCCTTCCTTTCGGTCAGACCACTTAACCTCCCTTCCACTTCACTTTGAGGTGTCATAGGGATTAAAAATCTATGCAGCGTTTTAAAACCTTTGCAGAATGTTACAGATGCACTGCCTTTTTGTCTTTGTTAAGGTTTATGCCAATCTATTGGAGTAAGTAACTTTCTCATTGATCATTTGGAGGAGCTAAAAGAAGACTGTCAAATAACCCCACATGTAAATCAGGTGAGTTTATTATGTATAATGCATACAAGGCTTTTATCAGGAAAGTAGTGTTACCAAACCCTTACTTTAAAAGGATGTTGGAGTATAATTTGGTGGCAGGTTTTGTGTCAACCTTTGGAATTCCTGTAAACACACTTCTTGCCTCTGCGAAGTAGTGAACAATCATAAGGATAGTGAGTCTGAAGTATAGATGTCAGCTGGGGATGAATGAACACCTTGCCTTTGGTTGCAAGCTGTTCCCATGATTGTATACCTGCCACTGTTATACCAAAATTATCAGTTACAGGAACACACTGTATTGATGTGGCAATAGGGGCTGTGCGGTGATGATTGGAGTGTGGAGGGATCAGTGTGTTGTTTTTGTGATGCATGCTGGGGAAGGCATTTAATTTCGTTGTACAATACATTGTATAATAAAGCTATTTAAATGTAAATAATGTGCCATAAAAGGGACTACTGGATCTTTATGTGATTGGACCTCTGAACATAATTGTACTCTTCTGTTAATGGGGAAAGGAGTGACTCTTTTCATACTTTGCAAACTGTAAATTTGTAAACAGAATGCCACAGGGAGGTCAGGAAGCTTCAAGGATTTAAGAGATGGTTGCATCTGCTGCTTGAATCCTGTTTCTGTACTGTAACAAGATACTATGTGTTATAAAAAACCTTCCAAATCAAATTGATACAACAATTAATTGTGAACCTGTGGGTTTCAATACCACAAATGTAGACATTGTTGGAAAAGTATTAGATAAAAGCATAGATTATAGGTCTGGAAATTATTAGGTGTGATAACTAAATAAAAGTTCCATATTTCAAGACAGAATACATTCAGATGCTAGATCATGGGATGGCATGTTTTGTCAGGGATCTCCATACTTGTGTGAAGAAATACAGATAGTCTCCAAGTTACAAACATTTGGCTTACAAATGACTCATAGTTAAAAATGGGGGTGAGACAACAAGAAGAGAGAGAAATCTACCCCTAGGAAGGGAAATTCACTCCTGAAAGAGTTATCATGGGGGAAAGGTGTTTCAGCTGAAGCTTTAGCACCAACCCTTGTTTCCACAACAAGCCCATTTTGTCAAAATCCAGTTATCACACAAACATAAAGTGAGATGATACCTTCTGAACAGGGGCATAGTCAATAAAACAAACACCACAGGGATCTTAGCCCTTCCCTATGCTATCCAAAGCGTGCTTTATCTATCTATCTGACTGGAGTTACACTTAAAAATGTATCTGTTCCAATTTACAAACAAATTCAACCTAAGAACAAACCCACAGAACCTATCTTGTTCGTAACTTGGGGACTTACAGTTATTACAAGATCTGCCTTGTGAGTTTGATTGGATGGTGCCAAGTGAGGAGTTCTCTCAAAGTATAATGAGTGAATTGCTTGCCTAAGATTATCCAGTGAAGTGAATAATATTATGGAAGAGCAAAAGATACTTTTTTGAAATGGCTTAACTTTTCCTTAGAGGTAGAATACTCTAACCCAATGCTCATTTTGGGCTGGTCTTTCTCAGCTGCATTTAGTCTCATTCTGTAAAAAAACAAAACTTGGTGATATTTCTCTAGTATTCAAGCTCAGTTAATTTGATTCACCTGGCGTTATCACCTCTTCTCACATCCTTAGAGGTTTCTACCTTGAAGCTTGGAAAACTTTGTTTCTCTAGCCATTGTGGTCATGATGGCCAAAGTGTTCTGTGAGTTGTAGTCTGAAAAATATCAGTATTTAAGTTCTAGTAAATCCTGGAAATGCAAAGAAAATGGACAGAGCAGTGACTCCACCTCATGCTGCCTTTGCAAACTGTAAACTCATGATGTGGAATGGCAAAGAGAGGTCAGGAGACTTCAAAGGTTGAAGAGATGGATGTGTCTGCTGCTTGAACCTTGTCTCTCGTCCAGCCTGTCATTTTTGATCACAGTGGCTTTAAGGCTGACTCAGCCAAGCCTCCAAAAGTGTGCAAGTTCCCCCCTCCCCCAGCCCCTAAAGTCGGTACTGAGCTGACGTCAGCTTATTGTTCCTGACTATTGTTGCCTGAAAAGACAACATGTTCTAGGGATGAGAAACAGGAAGCAGCACCTCATCCTCCTGGGGTGGATGAAATTTTCCACATTTCCAGCGTTGATGTCACTGTGCTAAACTAATATATCTTTGTCTTCTCTTCTGCATCATCATTACAAGCACACAAAACGGTTAGCTAATTGGAAGGAGCATGAGGGCCAAATAGTTTGGAGGCGTGTTTTTTTTTTTTCTGAAAACCCCTTTGTCAGAGAATTTATGTTGGTTTATGCATGTAGAAAAAACTGCTCTATTGGGGAATTTTGTTGAGCTTTTCTTTTTTGCTTCACTTTTAGGGAGAGAGAACACTAGGATAGTTCATGTTTTCTCAGGCTGTATTGTTGCTACTCATGGTATTTGACCATTTGACAAACAACATCCCCACCTACAAACCTGCTCGGACACTGCAATCAGCTGAGGGGGCCCTCCTCTCAGTCCCACTCCCATCCCAAGCGCGGCTGGTTGGAACGAGAGAGAGGCCTTCTCCTTGGTCACCCCTCGCCTCTGGAACTCCCTCCCTAAAGAAATTAGAACAGTCCCTTTACTCCTCTCCTTCAAGAAACTACTAAAAGCCTACTTTTGTATGTTAGCCTATGGAGAGGAAGATGAATAGTTTACCATCGATTTTACCTCGTCTGACAATGTTTGACAACAATTATCCTAACTTATCAAAGAACTATATTTTTATACATATTTTAACTGTACATTGTGTTATTTATGGTACCTAACTGATTTATATATTTTAGCCAAGTGTTTAATTTGTTTATTTTAATTATTTTCATAATAATTGTGCATTGTAATTGCTTATTGGTAATTTATGGATAATGTGTTAAGTCAATTGTTATATGTTGTATGGAACCACTGCTGTTTCTACTGTTTTTACTGTTTGTGAACCGCTGTGAGTCGCCTTCGGGCTTGAGATACAGCGGTATATAAGCAAAGTAAATAAAATAAATAAATAAATAAATAATGTTTTATTCTGTTATTGCAAATGGCAGTGAATGTTTGCCATTTTTCACCTTTGGAAGCTGCCCTCAGTCCCTTCGGGGAAAGAGGGCGGGTTAAAAATGATGATGATGATGATTAGGGTAATAGCTGGGGCCCTTTCACACCACACAGATAAAGCATTCTGATTCCACTTTAACTGCCATTTCAGTTTAAGAAAATGCATTTAGAATTCTCGGCCAGAGAGTTCTTATACTCCTTAATACATGTCAAAACCTTGGCTTCTATAGGAATTCCTGGAATTTCATTAAACTGTACTGTTTTCTATGTCCTTTGGTTTAGTGGTTTTTTGGGGGGAAATATAGGAATATTCCAGGCCCCATTATTCAACGGAGCCACAAGAGGCTTCTCTTCCAGTTGTTTAGTAAGCCCTTTGAACCTATGGCTGTGTGTGATTTGAAGCCATTTACCCAAAAGATAGCTGTTTGAAAGGGGAAAATAAGTTAGTAGCCTCCTTCCTTTAAAAAAAATTCTAATCATTCTCTGCCAATCCAGTAGCAACACTTGTATTGCTTATATGCAGTTGAGATTTTTACCTTCAAAATTTCTTTTCCTTTATAAAAGGTTGAATATCATCCTTTTCAAAGGCCTCAGGAATTAGTGAATTACTGCCGAAGAAGGAATATTGTTTTTGAAGGCTACTGCCCACTAGCTAAAGGTGAAGCTCTTAGTCATCCCAACATAATTCAACTTGCAAAGAAATATGCCAGAACTCCTGCACAAATTTGTATCCGCTGGAGTATACAGGTGAGTTCTAAAATTGCCAACATTATTGCTCCCACCTCTATTAAACAATTGTTTGAAGCCTTGTCTATAATGCAACACATTTCCTGTCCACTTACCGTATATAGTTGAGTATAAGCCGACCCGAATATAAGCCGGGGAACCTGATTTTACCACAAAAAACTGGGAAAACTTATTGACTCGAGTATAAGCTGAGGATGGGAAATGCAGCAGCTACGGGTCAGTTTCAAAATAAAAATAGATACCAATAAAATTACATTAATTGAGGCATCAGTAGGTTGACTGTTTATTAATATTTACATAAAACTGTAAGATAAGACTTTCCAACTCTGACTAAATCATTATTCTAACCTTCTTAAATGTACATGTGTTTACATATCCTTACAATAATAATAGAATAAAATAATAAATGTAATAATAATAAAAATAATAAAGCTCACCTATAAATGTAATAATAATAATAATAATAATAATAATAATAATAATAGAGTAAAATAATAAATAACCTTGACTCGAGTATAAGCTGAGGGGAGCTTTTTCAGCCTATAAAAAGGGCTGAAAAACTAGGCTTATACTCGAGTACATAAAACCAAGGGTTGTAAATTTTCCCCATACGTCTCTTATTCCTTTTGGTACTTTGAATGTACCAAACATTGACTTTGAATATGTTTTAATGGTTTTTAACTGGGAATTTAAAAATACTGTTTATATTTAATCCTGTTTTAATATTTGCATATTTGTATATTTTAAATTGTATGCTAATGCTTTTATGTTAAGCTGCTTTGAGTCTCCTGCAGGAAGATAAAGCAGAATAATAATGATAATAATAATAATAATAATAATAATAATAATAATACATTCAATATTTTCAACTTAGTTCAGTAGCATAAATATGAAGAAATAATTGGCCCGATATTCTGAATATTGTGATGTAGATATGTTCAAGGTACACTGTTTCTGGAACTCTTTTAACCTGAAGATAGTAGTTCCTTCCAGAGAGAAATGAGGAAAAGATAAGTGAAGGTAGATCCAAGAAGTGGGGATTCTCCCTTTCTATTTATATAGAATGGGGATGGGCTAGTTTTGGAGACGCTTCACCCTTTGAACCTACTAAACTGCTCCCAAGAAGCCCAAATTCCATGGTACAGTGGCCAACCCAACAATATGTAGACAATAGGAGTCACCAAAACTGAGATGCACCTCTGTGTTGATCATCAACCACATGTTACTCATCCTTGATTATAGAATCATTGGCTGCTGAATGACACAGGCACAGCAGCATTATGATATGGAGTGATTTGGAAATGATTTTCATATAAGCTAATGTGCAGTGACTGCATGATATTGGTCTTCCTTCACCTGGACACTTATACTTGCAAATCATTAGAATTTTATATAGAATGCCCTGTGATGCCATTATAGTATGCATTGTACAAAAATGACTTCTTGTATGAGTTCTTTTTGCCTAATTCTTCAAAACTGTATCAGCTGTCCCACTTTAGCTTGCAGATGGAGGATCACATAATGGCATAGTCTCCCACCCCAGGCATGTTTATACACATAGAAAAGTAATATAGGGAGAAAATTGGGTTAGAATTCTTTTTCCCAACACTGGGTTTTCCATTCTCAGAGATTATTTATAGTATTTAATTGTGTGATCTTCTCACTGGCTGATTCACAAGTTTACCAAATCAGCTGCTATTTGTGAGGGCAAGTTTGAAGTTTCAGGTTTATAATTTTAAAGATAAGGGTAGAACTATTGCGGTCAGTTAAGAATGCATATATTTATTACAAACCTATTCAGCATTCTGGCCCAACCCCTTCTAAGGAAGCAGCCCTTGCAATTGATGTTGTTCTGTTCCCCTGTGGCTCAGGAAGCAGCTGACTGCTATTCTTATTTCCTCCTAGAGTAAGGCAGAAGCAGGTTTGCCATCACAATTTCCCCTGATGGCAGAGATCACTTGTGCAAAGGGTGGGTGGGAATTTCAGCCAGCATCTTTCCAAATGTTGAGGAATAGACTCATATAGATCACACTTGTAACTCTCCAAGAACATTCTGGCCATGATTCATGATAAGTTACACTAATTTCAACTCCTGGATTGTGTTGAGATCATCTTAATTTATTCTACTTGATCTACCTCCATTCATGTCTTCCTTTCATTGTAATAATTTATCAATTTTATATATTTTCTTTTTAGAATGGCATTGTAACTATACCAAAGTCCACAAAACCAGAGAGGATCCAGGAAAACTGCCAGGTAGGAATGACGCACTTATACCAAGTGTACATAACATATCTAGAATTTGTGTCTTGACTTTTCTTTGTTCTACACCATTTTACCTGCTTCTGAACATAGATTCAGTTCCTTCATCATAAAACATGTACAAACCAGAACTTTTTATAGGCACAACTCTTGGAAATTGTCTAGAAATCATAATTGATTCACTTACCCCCAGTAACAAAGCACTGCAAAAAAATATAGGGAGCCAAAATCCTAGGGAAGCAATTCCATAGCAGCTTTATTGTTATTTGAAGTGGCGTGAGAGTCTGTTGACAGTGTGGAGGAAAACCGTGCACATATGGTAATATAGACTGCAGTCAAAGTAAACTCATGTTGATTCTATCAGTTATTTCCTGAAAGAAAAAGTGGAGGAGAAAATGTGATTATTATACACATCAAAATAAAATGGAGAGACATTGGAGGTTAAAAGTGGATGGCAAAGATCCAGGACTTTTGATGCGCCATTTTCAGAATGTGTATCTCTTCCAGACAGAAGATCAGCTGGACAAGCAGAGATTCAGAGTTTGTGTCGGACAAGATTTTAAATTTGTCAGGCACTTAAGAACAATTTTGGACACACATACGACTATTGAAAAGAGGGAGAGAGTGAATGATAGAACTGGAATGCAGATTAGTCAGAACATGGCTTCTTGGATATTTCTGTTCTGACTTTGTAAGCCATTGTGACTACCAATATGGCAAATTTTGAAATAGAAGTAATAATAGTAGTTGAAGAAGACAACGAGAGTGATAATAATGGCCACTGGAAGTCGCAAGTGAGCCCTGTCACATGCACAATGGAGGACCTTCTTATAGCAACACCAGAGGCACTGCAAGTGGCCAGCTACTTGTTAAAGGACATTTAGTATAATGCCAAGTTTTAAAACTTTGTTTATGTTTTTAAATACATTACAACTGTACCCTCGGTATGCTTCTGACATGATAAACAAATAACAATGGCCACAGTCTACCTTCTAAGTTGCCCTTTGGGGCAACCCATCAAGGGCTAAGGAACATCCAACTTGGGATGAGCTCTTCCTTAGATCAAAGCTGAACACCCAATTGCCCACAGTATACATGCACCATCCCAATCCAGATTTGGCTTCACTAGGGTTTGCCATGCCACTTGTGAAAGAGCTGTCTTCCTATAAAACAGCTTGCAGTCACCCCGTGTGCTTAGTTTGTAGTCAGAATTTTCTGGAAGCTTCCTGGAAATACAAATCTACTTGCAGATAAGGTGAATAGATTTTATTTTAAGTCAAAGATGTCTGAGGTTTTCAATGCAGGGAACAGGATAAAGTTGGACAGCAAATGTACAGGAGTAAATTAAGGCTCTTTATTTACAAACAGTTATTGGGTGAATTGCACAAAAATAACATCTTGGCAGAACAGAGATTATGTGAGCTTACAGGCTCAGGACAGTACCCTCAAAGGCAGAAGCTTTAGAGTGCTTCATGCTGAAAAAAGAACAGAAATGCAGTGTTACATCAGGTGTCTGGTGAAATAGTGGGTATCAATGAAGAAGCTTTTTGGTCAAGCAATAAAACCTATATAAAAGAGAAATGTTCTGACTTTGATGGTATTCCCAGTATTGGAAATCTTAAGATTGATATTGACTTGGCAGAAGAAATAAAAGAGGCAATCAAAAGATGAAATGTCAAAAGAATGGGAAACTTTACTAACAGCATATATGAAACAAGAAAAATTGAAGATAATAATGTAAAACAGAAGGAATAATGAACCAACATACCCTGAGGATTCTAAACAGTCCGAGGAGTGGAAGAAAGAAGAAACAAGGGAGTACTATATCCAACAAAATACAATAAAGAGGATTGGAAGTCAACACAACTTTCCCCCCTTTTTTTCTTTTCTTTCCCTTTCCCCCCTCCCCTCCCTTCTAGTCCCCTATCATTCTTTCCCTTTTTATTTCCACAAAAACCCAAAATCCTTCAAAGCCTGGACCTTGCATATTGCCCTCCCCGTTTTTTCTCTTTTTTCTTTATATATTTTATTTTTTTGTTTATTATTCCCAATTTTACTTCTTATATATGCTTTTGAAAAACTTTTAATAAAAATTGTTTAAAAAAGAATGGGAAACTTTGAGACACACATTGATTGTGCAAATGCGATTTCAGACAATATTTTGGATGTAATAAATTATTAAGTATGAAAGTTATGGAATTGACTAGCAAGGACACTGATTATACCCTTGCCATATTCAATATGTAATTAGAAAGCTCTCCAGAAAGTTGCATTTAATATCTAAAGAGGGGATCGCTTTCAAAATAAGTTGTTGAAAACAAATAAAATGAGAGAGGCCAAAGGCTCACATTTCTTTAGGATTGTTGGATTTTATATCAAGACTGAACATCAATATCTTAGATAAAATCTGTACAGTGCACACCAACATCTCTTTATTGTAATTTTATTACAATTCTTGGAATCCTACCTTCCTTGTTTCTTACCAGCTTTCCTCCAAAATGGATTTCATACATATTTTTGCACATTTTCTTAGTGTGCAGGTTTTATTTGTTCAATGTACCTAGTTTATGCATCTTCCTCATTGACTAACATGTTATTTTTTTCATATTTTTCTGACTATATGGATTTTAACTGTTTTATTTTGAAACACAGGTATGCATCAGTTAATGAAGTAGATGTGTTCCAGGCTGTTACTTATTTAACAGAAAATTTGATACTAAAAACAGAAATAACAGGGAAATGGGGATAGGTTCAGCTAAGCCTTGCAAAAGCAAACAAAGATATTTTTAACTTTCTAACCTGAAGGTGTTTTTTTTCCAAATTTCCCTTTAATCTGCAAATTTTTGGCACTGTAGTAAGTTACATTTTTAGTTTAACATTTAGAAAGCACAGCAAATAAAATAGTTTTACATTTGAATGATTTTAATTGTATAACTCTATACAGTGCTAGAAATTTGGAGGTTGGAGGAGTTCAATCAATGAATCAATGATTTATTGTGGTCTATGACCAGCACAACATAGAATGGGGCACAGGTGCCCAAGGGGAATCTCAGTTCCCAAGTAGGCCAAATATAAAAGCAGATTTAAAAATGTTATAAAAAGAAAACAGATTAAAAACTAAGGGTTGGAGGAGTTTGTTGGCTGGAGAATTCTTATTTGCGTAGGCAAATAACAGGGGTACAAACCTTGATGCATTTCTTTTTCCAAGAGGCCTTGGAAAGTACAAAAAGTTTTTCCCTCCCTCCTTTCCCCCCTTCTTTCCTTCTCTCCTTCCTTCCCTTCCTAATGTACACCAGGTCCAAACAAATCCAAGTGGAAAAGTGAAATATTGGAGGCTATAACAAAAGGAAAAGGGCTTCCAAAAGCGGAAGTCTTGTCTACTTAAGGTAAATAGGCAAGAACAGAAAACTTGACAAAGCAAATGTCAATTGGTGATAAGACAAGCAAAGCTAAAGACAGTATTGAAAAAAAAAGCATGTTAAGAAATCCTCTTTTAAAGTGAATTGCCAGCTGGTATTGGACACAAAGCCATAGATCTATTAAATGTTAAAGACTTAAGAAGTTTACTAAAGGCGCATAGAAAGAGAAGCAGAACATTTGTTTAGCATGGTCTTCAGGGTGGAAGATGTTGGTCATACACTCAGGAAGAACATCTGAACAATTGAGGTTGCAGTTCTATTCACACTTGCTTGGTAGTACGTTCTGTGAAGTGTTCCAGAAGTACTTTTTCAAACGAGGCCAATGGACATCAAATCAACAAATGAGATTTAGTGTCACTAAATGTGAAGTGAATCCCAACTTGACACTGTTGCAAAGCCCAGTTTTCTGTAATGCTCCAGGAAAGAGCTGTTGGTATGTTTTACTGAAGCATCAGTTCAGTGTACAAAGCAGTAAATAGAAGTGTATTTATGCTAGGCATTGTGAGGACGAATATTGTGGAAACATTTCATCTCTCAGCAAGCTCGGAATATCTTAATATAGAATCCTTGAGGATGCCTCAAGTAATCTATCAACTTATGGCTACCTCATAAGTTTCATAGGGTTTTCTTAGGAATACTCAGAGGTGGTTTCTGAAATATAGACTACATCACTGGATATTCATTGATGGTTGCCTGTCCAAATACTAACTTAGCTTCTAAAATCAGGCATGTTCTGATGCATCAAACAGTTAACCCCATCCTTAAAAATACAACAATTAACACGCTCTTCAATTTAGAATACAATGGCCTGCTAGTTAGTGGATTTGGAGAGCTGGAGTTCCAAAAAAGGAACTTTTTGAAGTACTGCTCTGATTATCAGTTTCTTGGAGGAGGAGTCAATCAGTAGACATGTCATTGCTGTTTATTTATTTGAAAATGGGTATGGTCCCTTTCCAGGCATTTTGCACCACTCAGTGCTGGTGAAAAACCAAGTGAATCAATTTAGTCATAAAGCCAACAGATTTTTAATGCAATTCCCTCTTTAATTATGCAAAAGTTACAAAAAGGTAGTCTTGGGGGAGAAGGGATTTATTGCATCAAAAGAACTGAGAGATTTGTCAAGAATACACCAGGTGCAGGGCTCAGAAGCTATATGTCTGATGTTGCTAGCTCTCCTTGTGTTCATGCACGCAGCCTGCAGGAATTCCCAGCCGAAGGAAAGGGGGAGGAAGGGGAGGAAGTGGCCTTTCACCATGTGCCATGTACTCCTTTTTTATGGTCTCCTTGCTTCTGCGCCATTGCTTAAATGTAGTAAACTCTAGGGAAGAAGCCTCCTTCTTGGCTGCATATGAGTCTCTCCTCCCCTAGGAACAATTGGAGCTGCCCTACGTGCCAGCTGGTATGTTCCAGGAGGTGAACATACACTTCTCAGAAAATGTAATTTACAAAGAGGGATGCCTTGTTTTGTCTGGCTAGAAGAAAAGGGAAAGTGTTTCACCTGCCAGCCAGGGAATCCCCTTTGGCCCACTATCTCTAATTCTGTCAACATTCTCTCTATATTAGTTCATCACTATC